ACTCGTGGGCACGCACGCATTGCAGGACGTGCATGCAACGGGTGGTCAGTGCCCAAACTGCCGAGCACTCCCTGATCAAAGTGCATGCGCGCATGTAGAGCGCCAGAGCGGGCCAGCACCCAAGAGACACAAAACCAGATGCCCTGCACCACCAGGTGTGGCCCCCCATAGTGCAGCATGCAGCCATGTCAATACATGGGTACATGCGTTGTGCTCTCTCTCTCTCTCTCATGTAGCTGGTGGGCCCCAAGCATATGCTCTTCCGTGCGGACGCAACAGCAGACGTGGGGCGCAGCCGCAGCAGCAAGAGGAGGCGCGTGTTTCCAAAAAAAAAAAGCAAGAGAAGGCGCGGGGCGCATCAGGCGCAGCAGCATGCGCGGGCGTTCAAACGCGCGAATCCGTTCGGACGTCTCGACGTTAGCATGGCCCTTATAATAATCCAGCCTATTGGATCATAATTAGATTATTTTAATTGAATATTATAATCATAATTTATCTAAACATGGTCTAAAGGCAGCTCTAATGATGAGTTATAAGCTAGCACGAAGCATATTATTATTTTATATTTTAATAGAAGTGAGAGAAAATTTATCTATCGATCAAGGGCTAGTCTCCTAGACATATTTTAAGATTATGTGAGAGTGTGATGTTGTACTATTCATGCTATGAGCTATGTGATAAAGTTAACATCATTAGAGAAGTTGTCTTAGTACTTGTAATTAGCTTATACCGGGTGCCCTAAGTAATCGATGCGATCCTTTTTTGATTCGATTGCTTTAGTAGTAATGTTCGCAAAAAAAATGAATGCTTTAGTAGTAAAGCATGGCAGATGGAACGAGAGCAGGTTAGGGATCCAATTTCTCGGGCGTAGCCCATGCATGTGAGTGCCCATGCGGCGATGCCGCGGTGCCGTCCGACTCAGCCAGCTAGACAGACTCCTAAAAATAGGAGTCCTTGACCACGCTGCGGTCACCGTCATTAGGAATACGTCGCTCTCGGTCTTGGCATACTTTAATCCTTGGCAGCACAAGTGTCGATCATCAGATGGGCGAATACGGCAAGGTGACGAGGTCGCGACCGTGAAGGACATTTCCATATGCGGCAGATCCCCATCCGCTCTTTCCAGGTTGCCACCATCATTTTTCCTTCGTCCTATGCCGCCGAGCCCGAGCTCCAAAGTTGCCAGCCGCAGGGTTCAAGGAAAGTTGCACGTTACCTTGCGAGAAACTGTCTCTTCCGGTTGTAGGTTAAAGGTGGCGTACGTACTGAATCAGGTGCTGATAACAGTGCTGAACAACAGAGCAAGTACATCCTCCAAAATAGAATATTCCTACGTCGACTGCACCATTTTCCTACCTGGGACTCTGGGAGGCGCTGCACGTCCATGTGGCGCTGCCCCTGCCCGTGGCCGAGATGATAGGTGTGCCGTGTGCGTGCACTGCGCCGATGGCGAGGGTGAGCTAGCGGGACAGCAGAGCGTGACGGTGACGCGCACGCGCCTGCTGCCTGCATGCGTCCACGTCCCACTACGCCCCTCCCGGATGCCGCTGTCGGACTGTCGACCGCCCCCAGCGCCGAGCGGCCAGCGGGCAGCGCCCGCGAGCTAGGCGCCGGCCTGGATGGGCTTAGCGCAGCGCAAAGTAGATACCAAACCAACCAGCCCCTCCCGGGCCTGTTTGGTTCATTGGCTTACGACCGACAGGATGATATAGGCACAATAATGCCTAAGCTTGGTTCCAAAAGCATTATATTCATACATTGTTTATACAATTACAAATACCCTCCAACTAAGCAAGCAAGCTCACCGAAAAAGGTGCTATGGTTTGAAAAGGATACTAATACATTATATTCTTTTTAGATTGAACACTTGTCGTTATGCAATAACATAGAGGAAATTCAGTAAATTAATTCCCAATGTGTTATTGTTGGTCGCAGAGAGAAAATCAAGCATCCAATACGACAAATCAAGGGTTAGAGATTCTAAATCAGATTTGCTATCTCACAGCCGGTTATTTCGTTGGCCTCCAACAACCGGATTTCTGAGCGTCCGATGATCCGATCCGACGCTTGCGTGCGTGCGGCGTAGTTTGACCACCACGCAAAGCGCGCGCGGGCAGCCGCTCCGCTCCAGCTAGTAGCTTATGGCTCATTTGGTTTCAAATAAGTCACCTATTTATAAGTTAAAAAGTAAAAAAATGATTTATTTTATCAAACACCACTAACTTATAAGTCACATCTGCTTATAAGTTTTAAGTTGATTCATTCATGCTTAAAACTTATAAGCCACTCTTTTTTACGTGGGGTCCACACCTTTAATGAGCTTATAAGTCATCTACAACCAAACAGGCATAACTTATAAATCACTGATTTTCGATCACCTGACTTAAAAGGTTAGTTCCGGTCAAAAGCTAGTACGTGTACTCGTCAACCGCACGATATTATCGATATCCACGGAGTGATCGCAGGACAGTGCTAGCTACATGTGTGCTCCCTGGTTCTGCCGCTTGAAGACGAGATCTGCTATCTATTGTTCCATTTGTATTTGATAACATTTATGAATAATTTGATATATATTTCTCTGATGTCTGAAATTCATATAAATAATTTGTAATTTGTTTTGAAAATTTTGGCATATATTTGTGTTATTCTCAACTTACATCACTCTGTCCAATATATTACACTGAAGAAATAATTATAAATATAGTAATAAGACGATATAAATATAGCTATAAGACAGTGTAAGTACAGGGGAAAAATCTGGTTGTTAGGAGGGACTAAAACAACCAGTTATTGGCTAGACAGATTCTAATAAATATGAAGCCTACTCCGTTTACTTTATCCAATGATTCAATTATTGATGTTCTTTGATCACTCTAAAACGTGTTTTGAACCGCTTCGAACGTTGGATCTTGCGGCATGTCCAATACTTTGAGGACTAAACTCTGATTTCGGCATTCAATAAGATTTGGTTCATCTAGAACATCATCTGCATTGAGGAAAGCCACTGCAAAGAAGATGATGGAAGAATCTACGGAGAATATTGTATGTTTTCCATTTCAGGGTTTTATGTAGTGTAGCTTAGGGATGTACTATACCGACTTTTTTTAATGTGTTCCCAACTTTCGGTCATGAATGCTAATATTCCAGGACAATAAAAGAGATGAAATGAATGCGTGGATTAGGATGAAAATCACTTAAATGAAATGAATTTCACTAGAATAGAACTAAAAGAATAAAGTTTTTTGATTGGACAGAAATACAAATAATTCAATTTAGTTGAATAAGAACTTGCAATCTGATTAAACATAACGGCCAATAGCTATGACATGCAGGGGATGGATCAGACAGCATGAAGAAATGAAATACTCAAATACGGCAGATGGGTTATTATAAAAAAAAAAAAGGGCAAAGATATGGACTCGTAAAGAAATGAACCTAACCTAGAGAGGCTAAACAGAGGATTTTAAATACTCGATGAATAGAGGGCATCATTTTCTTTTTTAAGTGTGGGTCCTTTGCTTCATTTTTCGAAACCCGGTATAGATACAAACACCCTTTTAACCTAAAAGTACTAAAAAAAGATATATCTAAACTATTTTTTAGAAATTAATCCTTTAAGTCATGCCATAGGCTATTGCGCGACTCGTCACTATGATTACACTATATATACACCCTCTGTCTCTTTTTAAATGTTATTATCTATATTAAGTTTGACTATATTTATAAAAAAAATTAGTAATATTTATATAAGTGTATTATTAAAATATATTCAATGATTAATCTAATAATATTTATTAAGCAACATAAATATTAGTAACTTGTATATATTTGATCAAAGTTGAGTATGTTTGACACCTTGATATATGAGAATGGCATTTAAAAAGGACGGATGGTGTACTGTTCAGTTGACTCATGATGTTGGGCTTGACGGGACTTTCAAACTGGGTCACTCCTTTCTTCTCTGGTTCATTTTTATTTTCTGATTCTTTTTATGTTGATAGACCAGACAAAAAACTTAGGGACCTCTAAAAATATTGTAATTTTTTAAATAGATACTAAAAATCAAGGGTAACCCATTTTTCTTGGATCTACCTTCGTTGCTTCTTTGATTTTGAAATTAAAATTCTTCCCATAAAGCTATATTTGAGTTTTTGCTTTAAGGTATTTACTATTTAGCCCCAAAAATGTCTCAAAAATCTAGAAAAAATCATGTAAATTCATGGTCAAAGAAGTATTATTTATGTAATTTCTTGCATATGTGCTCAGGTAAAATCCAAAGTTCCTTAATTAAGCACATGCTCCAAATTATGTTTTAATTCAAAATTAAATTTAAAATGATTTGAAATTATTTTAATTTTTTTATAGATGCTAAAGATTTTTTTTGATGCCATAGATGCTAAAGATTTGATAGTATGTGCTGCTAGCCCGCTATTTTTAATTCAGGACTCAGGTTCTTCTCTAGCGCGATCAAAGGTCTATTCCAGTTTCTGATCGGATGGCCTATGTGGCTATGTCCCTCTCCTCCACGCCGTGATGCTACAAGTTCTATCGATGACGTGGCATGGCTATTATGCGCTGGAATGCGCTAGATTTAGAGTATTGAGATAAGTGGTGTTTTGGACATTGACAAGGTCAGAATAGATATCATGACGTTACCTGGTTTGCATTTCCAAGTGTTGTGGAAAATATTGTGTTGATTTTTGTTAGCGAATCAGACAGTTGGTTTTTCCTTTGTTGTTTGCAAACAAAAAAAAATTGACTCGTAACCATACCGAAAAGGATCTGTTTCTAGATTTTCCCAACAAAAAACGACTGATACACATAATAATAACTAAGATAAATCACAAGATCATTTCCATGGAAAAAACCATACCTGAGAACAGATTGAACCGATCTACAAGGCCATGTACCATGGCGTTAACATTAACAACAGAGAGGGCATGTAATGAAACCAACAAAACGCAAGCCTGCAAGGTTGAAAGAACAGAGTGGGGAGGGACTCATGTCGACAGGCTCCCGCCACCCTGCTGCCAGAGGTTGATGATATCAGTGGCCTGGTTGAGAAGGATGATCATCTGCTTCTGCGAGATCCACTCTTTCTCTTCCAACTTCGCTCTAAGCTCCTCCCACGCGTCTTTCCGTGGCCAAAAGTAGTATGGGCTTAACGGGATGCTGCCATAGCCAGGAACCAATTGGTCGAGTGCTATGCCGATGTTCTTCTCCATCCAGATGAACTTGAGTACCAGCATCGGGTCCTGTCTCTTGGGGACCACCACCTTATTCTGCAATGCAAGATTCAGGTCATCTCAAATTTCATTCTGATGATGAAACACAATATCTCCATCCTAGAAAAGCTTAAGTGTGTGGTTTTAACACAATCCACATCATCAAAACTAAGCAGGAAAGATCAAATGTTGAAGCTAGTGTTCCCCTTTTGTTAGCTTTGTGATGCAGCTACCATTGGCATTTCAGCACCAAAACCCACTTCTTAGGTGTTGTTTGGTTCATAAATGATGATGCAAACGTATATGGTATGCGATCCAGGAAGCAATGATTACAGGATAATCGGTTCTCCATTTTGTTTGGTTCCACGCTAGATCCTGTCTGGTACGCCTACCGCCCACTGAGCTGAGATAATGATTACCACTGAATTTGCACTGGCCCCCAGACCCAACTACACAGGACCTGATTACACCTAAGTGAATCAAACAAATTTAATGGATTCAGATTACCCTGTGAACGGATAACGTCACAAACTTATGAAACCAAACAGCACCTTAGTATTCTAAAGGGTAATTTTGATAAAACCATAGATTTGCTTTAGTTCAATATAAACAACTATGTTTCGACAATGAAAACAAAGACTATTCATATATACTACTCAGGAACCGAATTCCAGATGCTCTCATTACATTCACATTCGCAACATCTCAGCGCATCAGAATATATAGCTCCTTTCCATATAAGCAACAGCTATGCAACAGCAAGCTCAGGTAAAGGCTATTTTTCAACATGTATACATCATTGTCAGCCGAAGCTCAAGGCTTCGCCAGAACATCCCCCGAAGGTGCCCAGGTAACCTAAATTGTTCCTTCTAGTAGTTGAGACCAAATTCATGGTAAACAGTAAGTTAGCCAAGTTAAACCTAATAATCAATTGAAGAGCCAAAATTGAAGAATCGGGGTCCAATTCGTTGGAATTGAGTTCTACTGAGCATATGATGCACTTAGAGAGGCCAACGAAACATAACCATTTTAAATTTTAACTGCATAATTTCCAGTTGTACAGACAACGACTGAGCCGGGTAAGTTGCCCGAATCCTAGTGGGTTCGAAAGGCCAATACCTCCGCTTCCTCCTCGTCGACCGCATCCACCCCTCCACCTAGTTGCACCTCTTCTTCCTCTGCCCCGACGGCATCGGCGGCGGCAGCGGCAGCGGCGACGACGCTGCGGAGCAAGCAAAGTGGCAGCCTCCTGCTCTTGAAACTGACGGTGCGAGAGCAGGGGGAGGACGAGGTGGCGGCCAGGGAGCTGGAAGACCTGGGCGGGGAGACGCGGACGCGCGGAGACAAGGCCGGCGTGGTCGTGGGGTGCACCGCCATTGGGAGCATGGTGTCGGGCCAAGGTTCTTCCTCCGCGGATAAGAGGAACAACGAACCTGCGCGAGAGCCTTCTTATCTTCCTTGCCCTTTTTCTCTTCCCGACGACTGAGCTACTCCAAATGGGAAAAAGAAAAACTAAGCGGGCTGGATAAAATTTGGATCAGGCCTGTCATGGGCCCAATGTGTTGGAACGGCTCTGTCGATGGCGAAATGCAGGCTTATCCGTCTGCTCCATTGTTTCAGCGCAAAAAAAGACCTCCTTTCAGAACGACAGAATACAAAGAGTCAAAGACCAATATACAGTGCGAGGTAGTACATTACCAGTAGTATAGTGCCACAATATACAAACTTGAACAGTTGGATTCTAAGATATATGGGATCAGACGAGAAAAAAAAAAGAGTTCTTCCCATTTCGATTAACTCCACTATACTGCTGATGAAAGTGGTTGTCGAATTACATACAGAGCAAAGACGAGACGCTCTGGTCACTGTTCTACAGTCTACAAGAAGCTTTGGCAACTGATGAACGAGTAACAGAGATTCTAAATTCGGTACAACCATCTTCCTCACATGTTTAATCAGGGTGCTGTCAGAATTAACCCAAGAGCGCGATTTAACCATCAACATTAGTAGTTGTTCGCCCTTATTGTTCCGAAATAAGTAGATAGCTATTTACTGTGTCATTTCCCGGGCTGCATGCCGGCGAACATGTCCAGGGCTCACGAGTCAGAAGTCCAGCGCCGGAGAGTAGGCCTCGGGCGCCGGCGCAGCGACTACTGACGTCGACAACGAGGCCGACGACGTCGAGTACGCCTCGGGCGCCGGCATCAGGACTGACGTCGGCAACGACGCCGACGAGGAGTACGCCTCGAGCGCGGGCATCGCCACTGACGTGGTCAGCAACGACGCCGGAGACGAGTATGCCTCGAGCGCGGGCATAGCCATTGACGTCTGCAGCGACGCCGAAGACGGATACGACTCGGGAGCCGGCACTGCTACTGATGATGTCGGCAACGACGACGAGTTTACCAGGCTCATTATGCTGTCCCAGTAGTTCTTCTCCTCCTCCGTCTCCTGCAGCCCGGCGTCCGCCTCGGCCGCGTCGTCGTCGTGCCTCGTCGCCGGCCTCAGATCCTGCTGGCTCAAGGAGCCGTCGAGAAGCAGGCCCCTGAACCCCGCCGCGGCGAAGCCTGCATCAGCGACATTGACAACGTGATCGCCCCACTGCTGCTGCTGCTCCTTGCACGCCTCCTCGTACGCCTGCATGGGCTGCATGGCGGCGCTTGGGGCCGCGGCCGCAGCCGTTGCGGCGCCGTGCGCCTCCTGCAGGACCGAGGCGAGCGCCGCGCTCTCGGAGAAGCTCAGCGTGGACGTCGGCGAGTCGAGCCGGTGCGCCGCGGCGTGTCCGGGCATCTGCGGCGGCGGTGCCGAGACCACGGACGCGGACGCGGAGGCGGCGGAGGCCGCGAGCGAGCGCAGCCTGGCCTCGCGCGCCAGGCGCGCCTCGGCCTCGAGCCTCGCGCTCTCCCACTGCGCCGTGTGGCTGAGGTGCGCCGCGGCCTTGGCGTGCTGCGCGCCCGCGGCACCGCCGCCGCCGACGCCTCCCCCGCCGCCTGTCCCGAGCGCGTCGGAGCGCGGCTTGTGCGTGACCGGGTCGATGCCCATCTTGGCCAGCCGCTTCTTGAGGTGCGTGTTCCAGTAGTTCTTGATCTCGTTGTCGGTGCGCTTCGGGAGGTGCGTCGCGATTGCCGACCACCTGCATGAACGAGCACGGCGCGGACGCCATGAAAAAAAATTCTCAGCAAGCAATCGCGCGCGTTGACAAATCTGCATCGGCGGCGAGCGTAAAACCACCGCGGCCGGGCGTGCGAGACAGTAACGAGTGCATGGCCTGGCACAGACACGGTGCAGAGGTGACAGGAACTAGGTCAAAACGGCAAGAGAGCAGGTGGCTGCAGTGACCTTGGTCCACCGGCGACGGGGGCCGGCGCTCCTCATTGAATGGCAGGCTTGAATGCCGAATCATGAGGGAAAAAAGAAAGAAAAATTCGGGGAGGAGCCTCCCGTGGCCCAGCTTTCTCACGCTTTTTCCCGAGATGATGCCTATGCATTGATGGATCAATTCACGCAAGCTCAGCACTAGGTGTTGAACAGGCGAAAGATAAACAACAATGCAGTATGATAACTAAACTCAAGAGAACAAGTTTACAATGCTCCTTTTGTACGGATATACACTACTGCTAAGGTTCAAAAAAATTCAGTTACTATATGTACTCCTACTAGCTAAGGTGCCAAAATGGCAAAATGTATTGTTGGTTCATGTAAAACCGCTGCGAAAAACATGTGTACAGTACTAGAGCGTAGTACTCCGAGAAAAATACTTGGACATGTTCCCCATCTCGTGGTGCTCCTGCCCTAGGTACCCGCTCATGCATTACCTAATCATCATAAATGTGCAAGACTAGGGTGTGGGACGGATGCTACTGAGTTCTTGACCTGCCGGCCGGCCAGCCTGCTCGAGCTACCAGTCAAAATTCGTGCGATTAACTGAATTCCGGGTGCAGCCGTGCAGGGTACTGGCCGGCCAGTGCTAGGACAGTGATCCATGGATGGAGTCGAGCCCTCACCTGTTGCCGAGCAGTGCGTGCAGCTGGATGATGGTCTGCTCCTCCTGCAGGCTGAACTTGCCCCGCTTGATGTCCGGCCGGAGGTAGTTCGTCCACCGGAGGCGGCAGCTCTTGCCGCACCGCTGCAGCCCTGCGCCACGGTCACCATTCGCATGCATGTCAGTTACGAAGGAGCAAAACCAGACAGCGTAGTAGCCGAACGCCGCTGGCTGGACCGCCCAGCACTACGATTACTAGTACTAGCTTGCGATCGAGCTCACCGGCTTTGGCGGGCAGCGAGCGCCAGCAGCCATGGCCGTGCTGCTCAATGTAGGCGAGCAGCTTCTGGTCCTCCTCCGGCGTCCACGGCCCCTTCTTCAGCCCATCCTTCTCGCAGCACGGCGATCGCCCCATCGCCCGCCGCGGCGCCGCCCGTGTCCAACCGAGCACTGAGCCTGCGCTGTGGCTGCGCAGCGACACAACACAACCCTCGCCGCCTGATCCTCCTCCCTCTCGCACGGCCGGCCTCACTCACAGCAATTCAGCCTGGCTCCTCGCTCCTTTCCCCTTAATACCCCCAGGGGATCGGCGCAATTGACTGCTCGGGATCCTCCTTTCCTTCTGGCAGCAGACCGGGCGGGGCACTGTGAGTGACTACTACGAGCGCAGCGCAGGCGGCAGGCAGCAATTGCCAGTGAGCAGAGGCAGAGCAGGGGGGTGCCAAAGCGAGAAAGCGACGCACTGATCACCGAGGCGTGGTGCGCCGAGGTCGGTGTGAGGCATAAATAGAGTACTCCGTAGTGAGTAGAGGAAGGAAAGGGCCGGCCGGGGCGTGGCGGTGGCGTTTGCCTGTATTGGGGACCGGCCGGCTGGGGCGGCACGATATCTTCTTCGAGCGCCGCGATCCCGGCGCAGACAGGGCCCCGGCTGTCAGCGTGGCGTGGGATTTCGCCCCCCGCGCGTTCTCAGCTCACAGCCCCGGCGCGGAAGCGTCGCTGCCAATCGCGATCCACCCGATCAGAGGGCGGAGCATTTAACACTCGGCTGGGGTCGGGGCGTCGGGCCGGGGCCTCGCGGGCCTCTGCCTGCTCTAATGGTCCAGATTCCCGGGCTGTCTTCTCTGCCTTTCCTTGCCTTGGACGCCGCCCCCGCCCCCGCCCGGCCCCGTGCGTGCGTCGCCGACCCGGCACGACGCCGCGGCCCTACTCCTCCTCCGCCGCGCGATCGGCCATAAGCGACGCTAGCTGCCACGTCGCTCCTAGCAGGCAATGCGAATCTCGCACGGCTCGCTCCACTGTATCAGATGATGATGATGATGGTAAGCTCGATTCCAGCGCATAGCAGGAGCGGAAAACTGTGTGATCGATCGTCGCACACGCATCGTACAGTGCGTCTCATAAAAGCACCTACGTACGTTGTTCTATTCTTTGCTTCGCGTTTGCTGTGGCTTGTGGCTGACGACGGCGCTCGTCGGTTGTGTGAGAAACGCACGTACGTACCGGTTCATCCGGCCGGCCGGAGCGCCACCGCCACGTCTTGGGTGGGTCTGGTCCGGCGGGCGCGAGACAGCCGGTGGCCCGGCGACGACGGCGGAGGCACGGCACGGCGCTGCGGGCAGCTAGCGATCGATCCGATCTCGCAATGATTTCGGCCCCGGCCCGTAGGAGCCACAGAAGCTGGGGCTGCGCTGCGCGCGACGCGTTCGTCTCATCTCTCTCCCCACCTCCGTCGCACCACCAACTAGCACGAAATTAAGAAGAAGTAAACGGCAGCGTCGCGTGGCGCGGGGATGCTGGCTGCATTGCTCGCTCGTCCGGCGCTGGTCCTGCCTGCTCTCATGCTCTGCTTGCATCCATCGTCGACATGCATGCAAGGGGCAAGGTCCGGTGGCTCTGGACTGGCTGGACGGGCGTGGAAGGAAACCCTTGCCAGTTGCCTGTTGCGGTGTGTTTGGGGAAACCCGTTTGTTTTACTCATTGATTTCGGTGCCTCGCTCGATCGGAAAGTGGCGTCGGTTTCCAGCCCTCTTTCCTTGCTCGGCTACGGATCCACCACGGTGTCGCCTCCTGGTTTACACATGCCGATGCGGGCAGCACTGCACTTGCCGTTTCCGGGAAGTGTCTTGACTGTGGGCACTGACCATGCATCGTGATGGCCTGGCGTGGCAGATTTCGTCGCGTATCATGTTCGTATACATGCCCTGGTCAAAAACTCAAAAATAATGCTGTACTACTGCGTGCAATTGAATTTGCTGCGTCGAGCCCATGCGTCGTCGTGGGCTCAAGTCGTTTCTGAAATCAGGAGTGCTCATGCTACTACTGGTGTCATGGTGTCATGGTGTGTCTCGTTAAATGCTCTGTTGCTGGGCTTAAGCTCCTAAATGCTTTTTTATGGGTGGGCTAT